AGACACACGCGGAGAAGAGGCCGTGTGAAGACGAGGCAGAGATTGGAGTGACACGGCCACAGGCCAGCAGAGGCGGGGAGCCACCACAAGCTGGCAGGGGTGAGGGCGAGTCACCCCGGGGCGGGGGGGGGGGGCTCGGGAGGGTGGGAGCGCAGCCCGGCTGACGCTGTCCAGCCTCAGAACACGAGAGAACGCCTGTCTGTTGCTTGAGGCCAACAGCTGAGTTGTTTCGGCAGACCGGGGACACCAACCCAAGGTCTTTGTTTCTGAAATGGGCAACCCCACCAGTAACCGCGAGATAACGTGACTGAGAGCAGCCGGAACGGTCACGGGTACAGAGTAGGCCCTCAATAAATGTTAGTGGAACCAAATTAAGATATCCTGAGCCATTACCTTGGAAAACTTCTCCCCAGGACACACCTGGCTGACTGAATTCTGTCTAGAGTATCAAGCTTGTAAAATGTTTTAACTTCAGAACCCAAGAGCCAGAAGGAAGAACCACGGGGAGGATCTCCTCGGAGCCCAGGTGTGGAGGATGAGCGAGAAGCCAGCAGGGATGTCTGTGTCCTTGCAAGGCTGGTAACTAAGTGCTGGCCCTTCTCCAGCTCTGATGAGCCTGTCACGGTGGATTTCACAAAACATCTGTTTCGGGAACAAGCCTGTTGTTTCAGGCAAGCTCTAGAGATAATAGTATGTTTTTCCTATACGCAGCAGTGACATGTTCACTGAAGCTGAATATTTCTAAATGTGACCAATTTCTTAAGTGGCAGGAGCCCATCAAACTCTTCAAGAACTTGGACGGCATGTGGGCGGCCCGGGCCGTTCCCTTGGCGGCCACAGATCGGAAGCAACATTTGCTCCGGCTTGTAGGGGAGCGCTTGGGCAGCAGGCAGGGGGAGTGGGTAGGGAGTTCTCAGAAATGCGTCCCTCTAAAGGTGATCTTAATTCTGCAAGGGAGTCAGGTCCCTCGGCCTCATGCATATGGATGCAGCAGTAGTTGAATGATAACGTGCAATTTTTCTTCCTCACGTTAATTGACTTGGGTTGGCTACCGAGTGTTTGACGAGGAAACGCTATGCCGGCGCACAGACCGATGATCCCCAGGACCCGAACGCAGCTTTGCTGGATTTGACTCACTTCCGGCCCAAGATAAGAACGCACGGGTGCGGCATCCCATGTGAAATGAGCAGACCGTGCCTTGGCATGAGATAGACGGAGCACCAGAAGGCAGACCAGCAGTCAGGGAGGCGCAGGGACGCTTTCTCTGTTGCCCCACAGGCAAAGGGGAAATGAGGATTCGGAGATCCTCCAAGTAGCTTGTCCTCTCCTCCTTTGTCCTTGGGGTAGGAATCTGATCCGAGGAGAGGGGCTCCCGCCCCTTGAGCGGGCAGATGAAGGCCAGAACGCACCTGCCCTCACAGGCCACCTCTTCCTGTCCTGGCTGCTGTGCGCCTTGGGAGTCAGGCCTGAACGATGTGGGGGTACCCAGGCAGCGCCAGCCCACAGCGGGGGTCTGGAGCGAGCCATGCCCCATTCCCATTAGTCTGCTTTAGCCTTGGCCTCCAGAACCTACTCCAGGTCTCTGCATTCCGGGCTCTGCATGGCCCCAGTGTCCTCCCTCTTCTCACCATCTTGAGGCTGGAGTCCCAGCATGCCATGGGGTCAAGCCCCTCCTGCCTGACCGCTAAGCCCCCAAGGCCAGGTCTGTATAGCACAGAAGGCGGTGACTCTTGTCCAGCTTCCCCTGAACACCCTATGCCCCGCAGACTGCTTCCAGAGAGAGAGAGAGAGAGAGAGAGAGAGAGACGGGGCAACACAACCAAGAGGAAAGAGCTTCAAGTCACAGGGACTGGGGGTGGTCCTCCTCCCGTATGTAGACATGGACCGAGCTCTGGCGACAGGGAGTGGTTTCTCCAAGGTTTCCTGGCTTTACAGGTCAGGAAGAGTCCAGGTTTCCCATTTCCCAGTGCAGTTTGCTGTGACAATATCCTTGCCACTTCTTTCAGCTAATATCAATCAGCTCTGTGCAGACAGGGCCGCTGTCTGTCTCGTTCCTGACTCTCTGGCAGCAGCAGCAGCTTGGGACCGGGCCAAGCAGGAGCTCCATAACTGTTATTCAGGCTTGGCTGAAGAGATCTCCTTTGTAAAACAAATCAGATGCAGACCTGTTCCTGAAGCCAACACAAAGGTGTAATTTCAGGATTCTACAGACACCTCAACTACCAGAAGGGAGGGCTGTATCTGCCTATAAAATGGTGCGGAAGTAGAGAAGAGTGTGAAATTTACTTGTCGCGTCACTGGGTTGATTTGTTCCCTGCATAACTATGATCTTGTGTCCGTACAGGATCAGCCGCTGTTTATCAGGGACTGTGGCATCCAGGCCCTGCCCTGGGGACCCTGAACGCAGGTCCTATTTAGTCTTGCCCTCATCTCTGTCAGGTAGACATTATTGGACCCACTTTACAAGTGGCTTGCCCAAAGCCACACAGCCCACAAGCGCTAGGGCATGGATTCTAGTTAGGTCTGTGCTGTTTTACCAAAGTCAGGGAGTTCTGACGTAAGAAAGAGCAATGCTATGCAATGATGTGTAATGATAATTTACTCGGTGCCACGCAAGTGATAGGTGTGAACCCATCTAATTCTCACAGCAACCCCACGAAGGGTCATCTCCACCTTGCAGGTGAGGAAAAATAGGCCCAGAGATGCCAAGTCACTTTGCCAGGGGATCCCAGCCAGTCTGGAACCCAGGGAAGAGTGAGAGGCGGGGAGACCTCAGAATAAGAGGCAGAAATACAAGAGGGCCTCTGGGGCTGGGCTGGACTCGATAGTCATGTGACTTCGAGTAAATTACTTAAAACGAATTGTAAAACATTTTCATAAAGCAGACATAACATAAACTTTACCGTTTTAGTCATTTTTTAAGGGTACCGTTCAGGGCTATTAAGTACATTCATACTGTTGTGCAACACTCACCACCATCCACGTCCAGAACTTTTCCACGTTCCCAGACGGAAACTCTGTGTCTGTTATACATGAACTCCCCATTCCCCGCATCCCCAGCCCCGGCAACCATCATTCTACTTCCTGTCTCTATGAATTTGACCACTTTAGGAACCTCCTGGTGAGTAAGTGGAACCATATAGTATTTGTCCTTTTGTGTCCGGTTTATTTCACGTAGCACAATGTCCTCAAAGTTCATCCACGCTGTGGCAGGTGTCAGAACCTCTTTCCTTTTAAAGGCTGAATAATATTCCTTTGTGTGCACATACATCTTGTCTACCCGGTCTTCCGTCCCTGCATGGTCACTTGGGCTGCTGCCACCTGCTGGCTGTTGTGAGCAGTGCAGGTATGAACATGGGTGCCCTTGGACAAAACGCTTTTGAGCTCATCAATTGCTGCTCCCAAAACTGAGCCGCCAGCTTTGCTCGCGACTCAGAGAAGATATTTAACACCCACACAGTGCCTGGGTCAGAAACCAGACAGAAGAGAGTAACTCCCAAACCCCACAAGTAGCCCAGTCTTGTTCCTCTGTCACCTCGGTCCACCCACTTCTCTCCATCTCCACTGCTGCTCCCCAGAATCTAAGCTGCCATCACCTGTCACTTCAATGGTGGGTCACCTGAATTTCAACAGCCCCATCACGAGTCTGCCTGCTTCCAGCTTCCCCTTCCAACACATCTTCCATATCATAGCCAACCGGCAGACCTGACCGTGTCACCCCGCGGCCCTGAACCCGTCCCTGGCTCTCCCACTCACTTCCTTCCAGTGCTTGTGGAAACGTCCCCTTCCCCGACAGACCTCCCCTGGCCACTCTGCTTACAGCTGTGACGCCCACTCCTCGCCAGCCTCTGAGTGCCCACCTTGCTCCGTTCTTCACCACAGCCGTGCTGCCATTCATCAGAGCATAGATTTTACTCGTTTACTTCGCTGATGTCCGTCTCCTGCCCTCTTACCACCCCCAACCCCAATAAATAATGTGAGTTTCACAAAGGAAGACATTTGTGATGGTTCTGTTCACCACTGGCTCCTCAGTCCCGGCACACAGTAGGCCCTCACTGAATATTGGCCAAGTGCGTGAATGCATGAATGACTGACTCCCCTCTGCCTGCAGGGTCACTGGCCCAGTCAAGTCCTTTCACGTGCCGGCTCTGTCCCCTCCAGCCCCTGTCCTTCCACATCCCCATGTGAACTCCAGCCAGACCACAAAGCTCTCCAAGTTCTTCCGCTGTATACTCACCCTGGGGCTTTTGCACGTGCTGTGGCCTCTGCCTGGAATGTCATTGCCCCCACCTTGCGCTGCCCTTCTGCGGGTGTGGGTGACCCCTTCACTGTGCTTCACAACGCTACTTTTCTCTCTTTTCTGAAGACTTTTCCACACTGTACTATGACTGCCCATGTGCTTGTCTCTAGCTGTTTCTAAACTGCCGGTTCCACGGGGGCTGGATCATCTTGTTTGCTCTCAGATTCTCGGGGCGCTGAGCATGCTGTCCAGGCACAGAAAATGTCAAGGGAGAAAGGGAGCCAAGCTCTTGAGTCTCAGCTGCCTCCCCTGTGGAGCGATGGCAAAGCTGATCCTGCAGGGCACCAAGGGGTGGACACGGCATGTGGTCTGTGTGACATCTGCCACCGTGCCCGGCATTGGGCAGGCATTTCACACCCGACGCTGACGTTAACGGAGGGTTCGCATGCACTGACGGAGGACCTGCTGTTTTCACTGTTCTAGAAGCCACCAGCTGATGTCCTGCCATCGTTTGTCACCTCTGGGGGCCACACCGATTAAGTGTCAGCCCCAGAGAGAATTCCTGTCCTTCCCTGTCCCAGCCATCCCATTTTGGCAGCTTGCCCACTGAGCAGAGAAAACCTCCGAGTCCGCTCTCTTCTCGGAACCAACTGTGTTTATTACCAGCACGTCACGGAATTGAGAACGTCTAGGGATTCCAGGGACCAGCGGTGCTGATCTCTCATTTTACACCTAGGACACAGGTTTAGAGAGGTCTTCTGACTTGCTCACGGCTACGCAGCTAGTTCGGGACCTCATTTTCTCTTTGCTTTTGGCAGAAGTTTAATTCTGTCTGGTTGAAACTGTGGGGACCCTGAGGAATTTGGCAGGTTAGTCTAAAACTCTCACTTGGGTTGACCCAATGAGACCAGTATTCTCACTGTGCCACGAGCGAAGAGAGGGGACACGTTTAACTTCTGTGACCTGCCAACTAACAGCATCGAGTCAGTTTTAGGTGTTGGGAAACTCTTGTCCCAGGGACCTTGTCTGCTCTCCAAACAGAAGAAATAGAAGGGACTATTGACCCTCTCACTCTATCCCCCTAGACAACTGGCCACCAGTGAAGGGATGGTGATGTCCCGCCCTGACCACCACCACTCTCCTTGGACAGCTCCTCCAGGGAGAACACCTCTGCCTGCCCGAAAGTGTGCTCCCCTTTCTAGGGGCACAGGACCTTTGCTCAGACTGCTTTTGGGGGGGAAGAAGCGGGAGCAGGGTGGGGGGGGGCGGGCACTCAGGCATTGGCAGAAGGATCGGGGAGGCAAGGGAGGGGTGGCCTGGTTGGAAGTGAACCCAGAACTCCCTCTCCCTTAGAGGGAGTCATCAGCCGCCTCCAACAGACTAATTCACAACCCCTGGTCCCAGAGGAAATCATTATGCCTAATTATTATTATTAGGCATAATGACTAATTAGTAAAAATAGCTACCATTTACCGAGTGCCAACTTATGCCTGGTACTTAATGCATATTATTTCTCTTTTCCTATTTTACACTTCTTTATTTTCCATTTTCCTAATTATCAAGTCAATATAGGTTCATGGAAAAAAATATTTAAAGATACCAAAAAAGCAGAAAAAGGGGGTAAAATTCACCCTTTGTTTCACCATCCACCTTCAGCCACTGCTAACGTACTGGAGTTTTCTTTCCAGGATTTCATCTGTCTTTCCGTTTCTCTTTCTCGTTGTGTGCGCGCGCACAGTACGTGAGATTTACCACAGCTGTGATCACATTCCCCACCCCCCCCAAATCCCTTCTAACTCCCACAGTGATCCTGTGAGTTGGGCGCCATTATCTCCATTTCACAGATCAGGAACCTGAGGCTCAGAGAAGGTAAGTAATTTGTCCACAGTCGCACAGCAGACAAAGGGTTGGATGGGAATGCCTATCAAGCCTTTCTGCTGCTGAAACCTGTCTCCCCACCCCCCGCCAACTCTGCCGTGTTGCTTCCCACACACTAAGGGAGAATCGGGGTCAGTTCTAATTACATCTCTGCTTCTGCGACCCCGTTCGTCTGCCCGTGCCCGCCGGACCACACTCTAGGAGTTTTTGAGGCACAGAAACCGAGAGGCGTAGCCACAGGTGTAGGAGATGGAGACGAGTTTGGCTACGTCGACTCCACTGGCCAGTACCTGACTACGGGAAGCTGTGATGAAGGCATTCTGTCAGAAACCGGAGGGAATCTGTGTTTTCTGTCCGTATAGATATCTGGAAAGCTGAAATCAGAAAGCATAATGAACTACTGTTTGCAAGCTGGTGGGCACAAGACAAACGCACGTAACTTCTACAGGGCAGCTGAGAGATACTCAGGATGCCTCCGGGGGGGGCCTGCAAAGGGCCTGGACACCACACTCCCTGGAGGGGAGGGGGCCGTGAGAACCCGGGTTCCACATTTCCTCAAATGGTTGGAACAAAGCCCGAGGGCACAGGCGTCTCTAAGTTGGCACCGAGCGTGATAAGTGGGCAAGATAAACGTGTGGCCCCTCGAGCACGGGGCAGAGGGGATGTGAGACGAGTAAGACAGTGCCCCTGCCTGCACGGGCTGCCAACTGGCGCAGGGAGACACCTAGAGAAAGAGAGTTCCATTACGATGCAGTAAGGCCGAGACATAGCTACAGAAAACCTTTTTGTTCAAAAAGCCGCCAGGAAGGGGATTTGTGACTGAGAAGACGCTGTGTGACGAAGGGCAGGAACGACCTGATTAAAGCCCGTTCCCAAAATGTTACGTTCAGACCGACATGCAACAATAAAGGCAGAGAACGAAAGACTATATCTTATCTTTATCTTATCTGTCTCAAATTTAGGAACGGTAAGTTGCCACACTTGGTCCCTTGATATTTTCCAGGATCTTCCTCCCTCGCAGTGTGAACAAGATGTCTAGGGTATGTTTTGCTTTGCTGCAGACAACGTTCACCTTGAGCCTTATTTCTGCACGCATGGGCACGCGCGCGCGTGTGTGCACACGTGTGTGTGTGTGTGTGTGTGTGTGTGTGTGTGTTCCACCATCTGAAGGTTCAGTCATCTCTAACCTAATAACCAGGAGCTGTTGACTCTACCTTCTGGATCCTACCAGAGCCACAGGATGCTGTGAATGTGCACGGCTTGGAACGTTCCCACCTTCCGTTAGGGGCTCAGATCCAGAGGTATTTCCTAACATCCACCCCTGCTAGTGCTGGGGGCCTCAGCCCTGCTTCCTGACTCCTGGAGGAGCCGCCACCCCATCGGCCCACCTCCCCCTGGGACCCGCTCTCCTCTTGACAAATGGGGGAGGTCAGTTCTGAAGCCCCAGGCGCTGCCCCCTCAGCTCCCTAGCTCACTCACCCTCCTCTGTTCTGCCTTTCCTTCTCCCCCTTCCTTGCTCACTGCCCAGACCCTCTTGTTCTAATTATTCCCGACAGGAGTGACTCACGCTTCTCAGATGTAGGAACAGAAATGTTGTGGCTGCACTGAAAGGTATGCGGAAGGAAATCAGCAGACGCCTGAACTTCAGCCAGGGGGACGAGCAAGGATGATCGCACAGGCCCCAGTGCGGCAGGAGGGGGGAGCCCCTCCTCTGACCTTCTGGAAGAGGCCGAGGCATCCAGCTTGGGTTCAAATCCCAACTCTGCCTCCTGGACGCTGGGGGACATTGGGCAAGTCACTTGGCTTGTCTGATCCTTTGTTTTCTCATCCTTCAAATGAGGACAATATCTCTCTTGCAAGTTGTTGTAAAGATTGTGATATTTTATATAAACATAAGTATACATATATATATGAGATTATATATACATATTTTTTATAAGTCATTTCAAAGCGTTCACTTTACACACATGCACGCACACACACACCCCCTAGGTTTAAACAGTGGCTTACACAGGGCAGTCCCCCACCTCTCTGGGCTGGCCGTGTCTACACTTCATAAATCTGTCACATAGAACAAATGCACTGGTGTAATAGAGAGTATCAGATAAACGTAAAGTATTTAAAGAAAATACTGAGGTGTATTTTTTCTTCTGTGCTTTGAGCGGAGTAATATTTATCCTGTCATTTTACAGCTAGGGGCTTGCTGGTTTTCCCAGCACAGCTCAGGGATACCAAATATAACGTGGGTTAAATATACAGGCCGACTTGGCTTCACACACTGTGTATGAAAATGAAACATAAACGGCTCGGATTCCCACATTCCTGACAGAGCCATCTTTGCAAACAGCATTTTCTCTTTGAAGAAAGTACTAGCAACTAAAAATGTTCCCATGTTTAATAATGATCGTCAAAGGGACATGGACAACGTCTTGTCTTTTATACATTATTACGCATTTAGTATACGGTTCATCTGGAGTGACACCAGCCAGCCCCTCGCAGCTGGAGACCCACAGAGCCCTGACCCTCTGCCAACCGGCTCAGTACTGTCCACACCTGGGGCCAGTCCCAGCCCAGCAGGTGGAAGCTCAATGGTCTTCACCCTGGCATCATTCTTTCTGCTCTAAGCCTGGAATCCTCATGCCTAAGAGGAAACTCAGATTCTAGCAGCTACCAACCCCTTATGGAGATGGTCAATTCCATCCAATGGGGTTCCTGCCTCAGTGCCCGTTTGGTATTCTAGGAGTTTCCCACCAGGACAATACCCTGACCATTACCCCTGCCCGTGCCAAGTCCTCGCCTGCTGCCTCTTCTTCCGGGACGGCAGGTGCCATTCTTCCGTACACTTTGTGCTGTCTGGGTCCAGCTGTGAATGACCTGAGCTCATGAAACCATGAGGCCACCAGCAACTAGTTGACGTGTTGACTGGCACCTGGCCTCCCATGCTCCTCCTGCCATCATGGCAGCTATGGACCCAGGCGAGTCCAAGCTGTGGTTGGTCACGCTCTTTCACTCTGAAGAGCTCTGCGACTGTTCTGTGTCATGTTTCCCAAGCCCTCAAACCTCAGAATGTGCTGGCCTGTGCTGTCCATTCCTACCCAGCGGTCCCCTCTAACATTGCTGGTTTTAATGCTGTAATATCACATTTCCTGATACACGCAAATGTATATACACACACAAATATAAAAACATAGGTGAGATCACACAACTCTCAAACATCATCTCACTATCAGAAATGATCACTGCTAATATTCTGGTAAATTCCCTTCTACTCCTATGCACATAATTTTGTCACATAGTTGAAATCATACTATACACAAAATTTTGTGGCCTAATTTTTATTTGACGTTGTGTTATAAGCATGTATCTGTCATGTCACCAAAATTATTTATGGAAATCTTTTTTTTTTTTTTTAATGTTTATCTTGAGAGAGAGAAAGAGACAGAGCATGAGCAAGGGAGGGGCAGAGAGAGAGAGGGAGTCACAGAATCTGAAACAGTTCCAGGCTCCGAGCTGTTAACACAGAGCCTGACGCGGAGCTCGAACTCATGAATCGTGATATCAGGACCTGAGCTGAAGTTGGATGCTCAACCAGCTGAGCCACCCAGGCGCCCCTTATAGAAATCTTTCATGACCGAGTGACTTCCCTCAAGCTAATGGCTATTTCAATTGTTTCTGATTTTTCACTACTTGGATATACATATTTAGACAATACATCTCTCTCATAATTTTGGATTATATCTTTGGTATAAATTCCCAGAAGTGAAATTTCTCAGTCAACAGGTATTAACATTTTTAAGGCCCTTGTTCTATAATCTTGCTTTAGTCCATGACCTTCTAAATTGCTAGAGAATGAAATCATAGTCACCAGTTCAAAGCTTTTCTATCTATAATCTTTTGGTTGCCATGAACTTAACTACTGAAATCACAATAAAATAGGGTGACACATTTTTCTATTAATTTCAACACAAATATGGGTTTAAAAATATTTCACATAGGAGTGTGTGGAACTAGAAGTAATGAGATTAAGCAATATTTTCAAGTGACCCACAGTTTCTTTCCTACTAATAAGAAATAGTCATTGAGATTTGTATCTCTAATTATTTTTTAGATTCTTCTTCTCACAGCTATGAATCTGAATCTGAGTCAGCACCCTAAACAGCCAGAATTGGAAACAGCGAACTCTATTTTTGAGTTTCTTATGTAGAATGTGAACTTGGGATGAGCTGCTCAGAATTCATTTATGTAATAATTTTTTTTTGAAATATCTGTCTTCTCTGTGAACCCTCCCATGATTTCTCCAGGAAAAATTAACTACCCTTCCTCCCATAGCTCATCACTAGTGCCTCATTTAACGCTTGCTATGGTCTTCATCATATTTGAGTTATTTGTTCAACTTACCCATCGGCTGGGAGCTCCTAGAAGGAACAACCTAGTGTGATTCCCAAGACGTAGCAGAAAGACCAACATACAATAGGCATGCATAAACAGGATGAGGATCCATTTTCAATTTGCCAGGGAGCATGTGGATTCTGCCTTGCTCGGAATCTGGTGCATAGGATGGATCCGAAAGAAGAAACGGAAGCAGGTCCATTGCCAGCTCGGAGGCTGTCCACAGAGCGATAGTCAGAAAACAAGAAAAAAATACCAGAAAAAAAATGTCTGTGGTTCCAAAACGAGAGAAGACCCCATTCATTATTTCACAGATATTTATGGATTACTTCCCAGGGAGTAGGATGGTGTTAGATGATGGAATCCAGAGAGGGAGAGGAAGTTCCTTCTGCCTTCCCAGAGCTCAAGGGGAAATGACAATGGAGGTTGGTTGCCGTGGTCCTACTAAAAGGTTATCCACGGATGGGGGAGAGGACATGTGCAAAACCGGGATAGACTAAGAGATAGTCTGGTCCTGCATTCATCAAAGACCACCACCTTCAGTCAGTTACCTGCAGATCACTCAAGATTCTTCCAATCACCACGCTGTGTCTAGAACATCCGCTCACTATTTCCATGTGGTAGCAAACTTTAAGGATGGGCAAGCCCTTTGAAATCTGCTAAATCTTACTACTAATTTCTCTAGGAAGTCTTACATAGAAGCTGGTTGGCCATGAAAAATCTATTACTTCTAACCAAATGGATATTTTAAAATATGTTATATATAATTGGGAGAAAAATGTCTAAGGCCTAAGGGTAAAGATTCATTAAGAAAAAGCACAGAGGGGTGGGAAGCTTGGGAGTAAGACAGCCAGGAATAAAATTCCTGGGCTGCTGGTTCTTGGTCCTTCCACCTTAACAAAATGCTTCACCTTTCTGGGGATCAGCATTTTCATCTGTAAAATAGGGATGATGATACCTATGTCCTACAGAAGGAAGAAAGAAAAGTGGGAGTACGAAGAAGAGGGCTGTCCATGCAGGTGAGGCACAGACATCTAGCACCCAAACATAAGGCAGGTGCATTGCTTAAGAGAAAAGAGAATTCTGGTGAGACCAGCTGTCAGGTGACTTGGATGCCAGTCCCAGATTCTCCCACAGTAGCCACAAGACCCAGAGAATTCCATTCCCTCTAACAACCTCCATTTTCCCAACTGTAACGTGAAAAGGTTGGAGGAGGCGACCTTATGGCTCCTTCAGGTTCTGATAGTTAAGCGGATCCTTTGTTTCTCTCTTCTAGAGTGTGTGAGGTGTTGGGGCGCCTGGGTGGCTCAGTCGTTTGAGGGCCTGACTCCTGATTTCAGGCTCAGGTTGTGATCCCAGGGTCTTGGGATCGAGCCCCACATGGGGCTCTGAGCTGAGCATGGAGCCTGCTTGGGATTCTCTCTCTCTCTCTCTCTCTCTCTCTCGCTTTCTTCCCACCCCCCAACTCGCGCATGCACATGAACTCTCTCTCTCTCAAAAATAGAAAGAAAGAAAGAAAGAAAGAAAGAGGAGGAAGGAAGGGAGGGAGGAAGAAAGAGAGTGTGGGGCAGGGGACAATCCCCAGCTAAGAGCATTGCCAACCCAGCCATCAGGACTGACCCGCCTGCAGACTGCCTTGTCTCCAGGTTGGAGACTGCCCGCCCAGCTCACCACACAGAGTAATTAATTACTACTTGTGAAAGATCCCACCACGTGCTGGTGTTTCATGAGCCATGAAGAGAGACCCATCTCCCATTTTGACAGTGCTGCACTGAACATTCATAAAATATTGAAGTAACTAATGAAGTCGTTTTTCATTTCAATGGTGGTTGTCTCTACTTATCTCTACATTTGTGTGTCCGTCCAGTCACAGATTTCTTGAACTAGTCAGAGCGCCTATTATGGGGAACAGACATGCAGACGTGTTGCTTGTCCTCGGCTGGGGCTCCAGGCCCGTCCCCTTGGTACGTAGGTGGCCGTGTTCTCCCTGGGTCTCCACACTGTCCCCTCTCTGTGTGGCCCTGTGTCCAAATTTCCTCTCCTTGTGAGGACACCGGTCCTATAGGATTAGGGCCCACCCTAATGACCTCATTTTAACTTGATTATCTCTATAAAGACCCCATCTCCAAATAAGGTCATATTTTGAGTCACCAGGGGTTAAGATTTCAATCCATACATTTTGAGAGTGATGTTATTAAGCCAAATAAGGGAGTCAACTTATTCATTCATTTGTTTGTGCATTCGTTCTTCCAACCCTAATCGAGTCCCTACTATGTGCCAGACATTGCACTGGGTACTGGCGATCCAAAGGCAGTCTTAGCACAGAGGAGTTCAATTTGGCAGAAGCATCACCCACACAGACAGGTCACTGAGTGTGGCATACATGTGAAGCATGAGGTGGGCACAGGGACAGAGCAGCTCTCTGCTCCCCGGAGGGTTCAGGGCCACTTCCAAGGCTTCCATGAGGTAGCCAAGAGATGAAAGGCTTGGGTAGAGCCTTCAGGTGGCAGGGAGAGAGGGAG